ATGCCTTTGTGCATGTTTACTACCGCAYGGAGATACATGCCCCACGTGATTTTTTTCAGGACTACGTCCTGTCAAAACTTTTAAGACCTATGAATTGAAGGGAAATTCAGTTATCTGGGACTCCAGTAAGACATGTGAAAGTACTAATCACCTTTCAAACCTTGTGTTTCAAAGCCTGTCCTTGTCATTTCTCATCGCTATTCTCTACACCGGCACACATTCAAATGATGCTGCCACAGGAATTATCCCTCTCCTCCTCTTGATGCTGGTAGCCAGCCTAAGAGGAAACCGTCAGGGGCAGAAGAAAGACAGCCCAAGAAAGATGGTCTCACTGTAACTGACATCTAAGGTACCATCAACCAAGAGATGGTCCATGYGTTCCGCCAGTTGAGGATTACAGCCTCCTAATGACAGAGAAGATGTGTACCTAGTGGCGGATCAAAGAAATGCAAGATTTGTAATGATAGACTGGAGATGGGGAGGGAAGGGAGGAACTTTTGCAGGTGATACCTGATGTGGGTCATGGTTTCATGGAGATTAAATACAGTTATCGATATTACATTCATCAAATTGCATACCTGAAATATATGTAGTGCAAGGTTACTCAAAGAAGATGCAAAACAATAATGAAGATTAAACAAAATGCAGGGGRAAAATGAGCTAGCAAATTGCCCTGCCCCCAAGTACAACTGTGGGTAATGATTTGATATTTTCCAGTGTAATAAATGCAATAACAATGATGCACTTAAGAATAAAATCCTAGGGCTGGGSCTATAGCTCAGTGACAGAGCGCTTGCCTTGCACATGTGAGGCACTGGCTGGGTTCAATCCTCAGAGCCACATAAAAATAAATAAATAAAATAAAGATATTATGTCCATCTATGATTTTTAGATAAAAAAGAATTTTAAAAAATGGAAAGGAGGAAATGTTAGACATTAATTTTTCTTTAACAGTGATTTCAGTTCAACTTTGATTTCATCTCCCACAAATCTTTGCACCGGAGAAAGTCAAAGTATTAGTAGCCTTTTGTAGTTCACTCCACAAACTTCAGTATACAGCAGGGATCAGTCAAACTGCTAGTCTTTATTTGGGCACTATTTTGATGTCACTGAGGAATGGCAAGGACAGGCTGACCTTGACAGCAGTGGCTGCCGGGCTCTAACAGCATGGGGAAGGCACCACTGCTCCACAGCTCTGGAATGCCTCAGAGTCTCTTTAATATCCTGAATTTCTTTTATATTTTATTTAGAGACAGTGTCTCACTAAGTTGCTCAGGGCCTTGCTAAGTTACAGAGGCTGTCTTTGAACTTGTGATTCTCCCGCCTCAGCCTCCAGAGTTACTGGGATTACAGGCTACAGGCGTGTGCCACGCGCACAGCACTTTTTGCATTTTTCCCCCTAACTTTCACGAACAGTGTTGCCTCCAGACACAGCACAGGCGACAAACTTAATGGCTTTGAGTCAATTCATCTTTGAAGTCAATTCTGCTTCTGAGAGATGCCACAGAACTCTCAAGGGAGAGACAGCTCACAGAGAAGGAAATGTGCACACTCCACTTCTGCTGGCCCTTACACACAGAAATGCAGACCCTGCGACATGCAAGGTGGTTGTGCATCCTCACAGTCTTCGGCCCCGGGTTCCTGGGGTTCCTCTTACTTGTACCTSTGTATTGCCACACGTGTTCCCTCACCTGGTGTGTGTGGGAGACGTGGGGCAATGCCACTCACCTCAAGGAAGCTAAAAGGCCAACTGGAATATTGAAGACACGTTTTTTTTTTTTTTTCAAAGAAATATCCATGTTTCTTCTTCTCCTTGAAATGCAGACAACTAGCCTGCAGTCAAGGTCACCCTGAGATATCTGCCAGGCACCACAAGGAGCTGGGCCCAATGTCAGATCTGCAGGAGCGGATCCTGTCCAGTCTGCGTATCTCATGGCAGAAGGGAAATGCTAACTAACTCCCTCTCCCTCTGCAGAAAATGAACTGGTTGTGTCCAACTCTGGCTTTGGAAGCACTGTGTCCACCCATCATGTTGTCCATGGCCCATAGTCATACATTCACCAGCTGGGTATTTACTTCCTCTGGGATGTAAGTGAAAGGCACTCARATGAAAAATGTTTACTCCAAAAGTGATCCTCTAAATGAAGGYTGGAGGCCTGGTGGAACTGAGTATCCTGACACATTAATCTTTTCTTTCTTTTTTTTTTTTTTAATAGCTTCTATCTTTTAAAAGATAGGAAACATTGTGCATTGTAGGAAACAGAAAAACAGCAAGAACAAAGTCATCCAGTCACATGCAGCTTACTTGGACATGTCCCTCCAGGTCATGAGACATAAATCTTAAAGGCCACAGTTTTCTATTGAGCTCAAAAACTACATTTTCAGCAAGTGTCAATAAAGAATATCAAGCTGAGGAGATTCCTGAGGAAGGAGAATTCACAGGTCTCCCCAGTTTGTGATGGAAAGTGGGCTCCGACTGGCAGCAGTGGGATCCTCTCTGTCCCCAAGGAGAGATCTTGTCCCRTTATGGGAAGGCCTGACACCTTGAAGCTAAGAGTAGTTGCTTTAAGTAGCTGGAAAAACTGGCATTGGTTAGCTAYGTCATCCAATTCTTAGTGCCATGATTTCCAATTCCACCGGACACCATCTTGCTTTATTATCCAGAGACATGACAATAATATCTGGGCAGTTGCATGACAATTGTGACATGTCCAGTTCATGTGCTTTGCCTGAAAGGGCATCTACTAAGATAAATTGAGCACAGTAGAGTTGGCCTATCATCATCATCATCATCATCATCATCATCATCATCATCATCTTCTTCTTCTTCTTATCCCAGGTGAAATCGGGGCAGGGGGCAGTTATATAACTGCTCAGCAGCACAGCTGGTATATTGTGGAGCCACAAAGTGAACCCCATGATAGCTCCAGGGTTCAGGCCAGGGGGGCCACTACACCATGCTGCATTGCGAATCCTCCTGTGCCTGTTTCCAGGGGAAAATACTCCACCCCATCAAAACAAAGAGCAAGCTTGGCTCTGATTAGAACAAGAAAATTAGTCTCCACTCAGATCATAACCTAAAGACACAGGCTCAGAATGAAGAAAAGGTGGAGTCATTTGCAGGTCCCATCTCTGGTCTAGGGCATAAACCCTTTCTATGACACCGGCAAGAGGTCAGCAACAGAGATCACAGATCTCCTGCCACCAGCACCACAGCCGATGGGAGACAGTGCTCAGTGAGCATGTGATCCGCACAGKATTCTCTGAGAGCCTGGTGTAAGGGGTCACACTGAGTCTCTATCAGGTAAGAAGCACAGAATTCTCATCCTTCAGATAAAAATAAATAAGGCTGACAAAGACAATGATCTGTCTAGGATGGCACACCTTGCCTCTCAAACTCAAGATTGCCTCTTAGAGAGGGGTCAAGGACTCGCCAGGGAGAAAGGGGGCRCGTTGTGCAGGGCACAGCTCTTGTCCCAGCCCCATGGTGTGACAGACAAGCTCCACAGGGCTGCTGCTGCTGATCCCGGTGCTATCAAGGCTTCTTCCTGTGAGCTTCTCTCTGCCCTTCTCTTACTGAATCTGCTGCTTCTTCTTYTTTTTTTTTTTTTTGACAAATAATACAAATATATTTTATTTGAAATAAACAAAAATGCTTACACAGCATTCACTTGGAAACAAACTCTTGCTCGGCTATAAACTGAGCAAAGACAAAGCCGAAGCACCGACACCCTTCTTGTTTGACATGTATTTTTGGAGACAGGTAGGAAGACACTACTTGGTTTTAAAAAACTGACCTTCCCTTAAGGTCTGGTCATAGAAGTGTAAACAATGTAAATGAATCCAGCGTTACCAGTTGTCCTATCCTATCTATGTCACCTGTGTATTTTGAGATCACACACATACCTGTCACTATACCTGGGAAGGGTTGCTATAYCACAGTTACACTTGATTTCTTGGCAGGCGGGACTGAGGAAGAGTAACTTGGAACAAGTTCTAACAACTTTTACATCCTATTTAGAAAACACTAGTACTCCCTTAAATAACAGGTTGCAGTAGAAAGCTACTGMCTGGAAGTGACCTTTTCACTTTGGTTCATCTTAAGTTTTTATGATTTACAGAGTTGATTCATTTGCTTATAGTACAATCATGCCACAAAGTGTTAAAGCGCAAGATATGAATTATTCCTTCAGCATCTGCATATTTCAAGTTTTATACTCTTCTACATCCACAGTATGTCCGCAGTTCTTGGATACTTAAAAAAATAATACCTGAATGAGACTCTTCCAAAAATGCAGATGTCCATAACGACAATGGTACTAAATGGGAAGAAGACAATGAGGCAATGAAGAAAGCAAACGTTCCATGTGGTTCAAGTCTTTGGATTTAAACACAAGTGCCCCCCAGAGAAGCTGGCCGGCATGGAATTTCCAGAAAACCTCCTTTGCCCCGCAAAATGGACCTGAAAATCCTCAATCCAAACTTTTCAAAAGTATAGTTATGAGATGCCATAAATGCCAGTCAGAGGGAGAAGGATGAATGTGTCTTCCATTTAGCYATGAGTTGTAGCAGAGCCTCCTTGGCTGTTGGTGGATCAGTCAAAAGCACTGAAGTACCAGAAGTGCTTTGGAGCACAGGGTAAAAGTACGGAGCACATTATCTGTCTAAATCAGTAACAGGACTTCATGGCTAGGAAAATTTTCTAAAGAGTAAGATGACTCCAGAATAGATGGATCTCTCTTCAACACTAAGTGTAGCAGAATTAACAAAAA